ATTTTACTAAATAACAGTGCACATCCTCCTACAAACAGTGCAATATAGAATTACATATGTGCATGTTTTGTGCACACACAAATATACTTTTGATGTTGTTTATACCGAAAAGCCATTCAGAGTATTAATATTAAAAGACTGATTTTCAAATGTCTAGTCTGTTTTTTTTGCGTTAGATTCTGCTTGTTTTAGTGTCAGATACACATAAAATAACTGTAAATCTGTCATTCGTTTGTTCATTGTTTCAGGTGTTATTCAATTTATTCTTGGACATCTTTTTGCCTTTATTTTTTTAGTTTTCTATTGTTTTCACCATGAGTGAATCATACTTTTTCGAACAAAGAATACAATTAAATTCCCTTCATATTGTTTACTTGAATGTTCCCATTTATGTTTAGGACTGCAATTGATCAGTTTCTTGTTGGCATATGTGCATACTATGAGTATTGCCTCGATATTGCCTTAATTCATAATCATTATAAGTAAGACAGATGGTTAGCAGTGGAATCCAATGAAATCCGATTGTACGTAGTTTTTTTTTAATGAAATAACAAAAGAAGCATAGAAAGCAAATACCGATATCTAAATTCTAATATTTAGTCTTTTTAAAGACAAAGGCAATTCTTTTCGGTTAAGAAGATGGTCAATTTCGTTTAGCTTCCCATAAAAACACCAATAGACTGAATTTTGATACGCCATGACCTTTATAAATTTGACCTTTAGTAATTTTTAGCCAATCATGTTTATAACATTTTAGTTTGAATATCCATATATGTAAATATATTTACGAATGGGTTTTGTGGAGAATTGGTAATTTCAATATTTGAAATCATGAATCAATTGAAGCTAGACCACCATGGAAAACCTGGAAGCACTGGACGGCCGTCTCGTCCAGTATGGGACTTCTCAGAAGTGCGCATCCACGATCCCGCCCCCCGCGGGATTCGAACCCAGGACCTATCAGTCTCGCGCCAGGCGCCATGCGCACTGCTGAGGAGTCCCATGCTAGGACGAAACGGCCGTCCAGTGCTTCCAGGTTTTCCATGGTGGTCTAGCTTCACTTGATTCATGATTTCAAATATTGAAATTACCAATTCTCCACAAAACCCATTCTAGTAATAATCATCTGCTCACTAGTGACGGACTTCAAGAGATACTCCTGGAGTTCTAGTGAGAAGCCGTGACCAGTGGAGTTCAACCAGGTCTGTTGTGAGATATCAGCTCACTGAAGACAATGGAGACGGTGGCGCAACTTCGTGGATCGGTTGAAGTTAGACATTAACACCGTTGGATGCCAGCTCAGTGGTCTAGTTGGTTAAGCGCCTGGCGCGAGACTGACAGGTCCTGGGCTCGAATCCCGCGGGGGGTGGGATCATGGATGCGCACTGCTGAGGAGTCCCATACTAGGACGAAACGGCCGTCCAGTGCTTCCAGGTTTTCCATGGTGGTCTAGCTTTAATTGATTCATGATTTCAACTATTGATATTTACGAATGACAAGAGATTAAACTGACATAAGTTATGTGAATATTTACTTTTGCAGTTGTTACGGTTGTCTTATTCTCATAATGTCAACTAGGCCACTCACTTAGTTCTGAATATTTTAATTTCAGACCTCAGACTTCAGTTCTTCCAAATACCTACTTCGTTTCTCTACATCACCATTTTGAACAAATTATTAGCTGAAATTATAGCAGTTTAAGCGGTTCTTCTTTAAGATATACAATTCTGAGTGAATCACTGATGAAGTAGATCTCCCTCTAGTATGGCGAAATTCCTTTCAAATGTTTTGATAGTCTCTATGTGGTCATTTACACCTATGGCTACATGAGTCTTATGTATGAATACTTCTATTTATTTCATTTTTATTAGCTAGACAATCATACTTACATTCTCACAAAACGTGTAGCTTAAAGCTCAGGACTTATTCATTACATTAATTTAAGTTGGTATGGTTCTATAGTAATGTAGATCAGTGCCAAAAGTTTCCAACAAATCATGTTTTACACTTTTTCTATTCTAATTTTTTAATCAACTGATCAATGTAAAAGCATACTATACACCTGATGTAAGACCATGATACAAGTGTTAATATTCATCATGGTTCTCCACTAACTAATAATCATATTACTTACGCCTGTTACCCCTGGTGGAGGAGCATAGGTCTTTCTCCAGGATCCCCCATCGAACTCTGTCCTGGGCTATCCTTTCCAGTTGTTCTTAATTCTTTCGATGTCTACTTCAAACTCCCGATGCAGTGTGCTTCTTGGTCTTCAACTTTCCCATTTCCCTTCAGGAATCCAAGTTAGCGCTTGCCTCGTGATGCAGTTTGGTGATTTCTGTAATGTGTGTCCTATCCAAAGTCAACGTATTTTCTTAATTTCCTCTTCATCTGGAAGCTGGTTTGTTCTCTCCCACAGCTTAATGATCATATTGTATTATTTGATACATACTATTTGATTTACAAGAGTTGTTCACTTGATAACAATTTATTTTGAAGGAAGCTTTGAAATTCTCATATAACGCTTCTATTTTATAAGGGTTTGCTATCTTCCTTGTTAAAACAATGCAATAGTCATTGAAACAGTTTCACATTCTAGAATCTTCCCATTTAATTAATAACATCTCAACTCAAAATATTTTAAGCGAAATCCGAATATATTCCTTACGGGATGTCAAAAAGTATCGTTTAAAAGATTTATATATACTACATCACTAGATAGTTTCATAGTTTACATTATAGATATGTCATCTGGTCCCTACTGTAATTCATCTTGATATCACGAATAAGCAAAAATTCAATCATAACAAGTTGCTACCAACTGTAGAATCATTAGAAATTAAAAAGATTTGCACTCAAATGTCTTCTTTTTTTCAAATCTTATTCTGCTACTCGTCAATAGCTTGAACTGTTGAATAATTGACATTGTTTCTCAGTTTTCCTACTTTTAATTGGTGAATTACAAACACAACTGACCTTAAAGTTTTCTACTTAACAGAAATATTGATTTGCCATTTTTTTTTACAAGAAAGTAAATAATTATTTACTAACAGATTAATAAAAGAACACATAAATGAACAAAAAAGAATTTACATCCATCTTGATATTCGTATGTGTATTGAAGCTTACTTATCAATACACTGTGAATTTTGAAACTCCACACGAATTAATGTACAACAAAAATCAATTATTTTGCTAGTGATTTCAATGTCTTTATTAAACTGTTTCCTGTGAATGATGTTGGTTAACTTGCTACCAATAATCATATATAATAAACATCGTTAATCGTAACGTTTATGATTTGCTATGCTAACGAATATTTCTAGTTTGAGTTAATTTATTTTGACCTACTTATAATAGATAATAAGTAGTACACTAGACTTGTATATATATTAATAACTAACTTCTATCATATTAATGAACAATACATAGATTTGAAGATAACTTTCATTTATCACCTTCAGAAACTATACGGTATTCGTCAGTTGTTTATTTGACTTTCAAAACTCTTAAGTAATTACCCAATAAAAATTATGTTTGAACATTCTATTTTTGTACGTAACATTACCAAGGTTTGACTTGATAATTTCGAATAAATTGAGCATTGGTTAGATTGTTAAAAATAATAATAATATATTTGTAATATCCTAATAAGTAGAAAAATTAAATTTTCTGACGTTTCGTAACTTAGTGTAAGCCACTTCTTCAGAGAATAAATAATCAAATCAAAATTAATCCAAGTTTAAATAGTACAACGGAACAACAAGAATATTATATTATATATTATTTACTTATTCTATTTTTGGTATTGTCTTTCTATGAAGACTTACATCATTTGTACTTGTCAGTATCATATACTGAATGAGTTTAAAGCAAACAGAACATTGAACATGCCGGTTTTCATGGTACACACGACTGCTTCAGTATTGAATCATGTATCTTGTTTTATTCAGATTTCGGGAATTTTTCCTTCTGATATCACTTGTGTGTGTTTTATTTATCAATAAATCAACTTCCAGAAAATACATTTTTAATTCGTATTTTTTGATGAACTGTTTATTTTTGACAAACTAATTAGAAGAAGCGATAATATCAATTATAAACGGGGTTTTATTTATTTCTTTAACAAATAAGAGCAATTTATCTGTTTATTGAATAAATTGTTTGTTATTGAATTAAGTGACTATGATTATATCTAGACTAGATAAATTGATAACTTTCGACAAAATAAAATGTGATAATCAGGTCATTTCATAAATCTAGGTAAAATTGCTTTTTGGTTTCCATTGATTGTCTGACTATTTTTTATAAGTCAACGATTATTTTCGATGCAAGTCAGTCTAAACTGGAAAATTCACTAACAACGAAAAAGTACTATGATTTTTTTCAATCTTTTTATAAGCCTGAAATTTATGCAACTCCGTGGGCGGTCTTGTTTGTGTGTATTATCGATAATTTCAATAGTTGAGATCATAAGTCAATTGAAGCTAGACCATAATGGAAAACCTGGAAATACTGGACGGCCGTTTCGTCCTAGTGTGATATTCCTCAGCAATGCGCATCCACGATCCTACCTCACGAGATTCGAACCCAGAACCTATCAGTTTCGCGCACGAGCGCTTAACCTCTAGACCACTGAGCTGGCTGGCATTCAATGGTGTTAATGTCTAACTTCAACTAATTCACGAAATTGAGTGACACATATACCACTATCTTCAATGAGTTACTATTTCACAACAGACCGTTCTGATATTATTGATAAATTACAAGATATGGTTGAAATAGCTACTCAGTTCCAAATAGTTTTAAAACTAATTACGATTCACGGCAAAATTATTTCTAAAATATCCAACAAATCTCGACCACAACCTTTTAACTTGATTATTTACAAATGTTACTTTGTTGAAAAAATTTGACAGTCTGCTTTCAATGAGTTAATTTAATTTCTTTGCTTTAAACGTTTAACTTTTCATTTTTAATGATCTCTCTCCCTATTCTAGGAAGTTCTACAAGAAGTCATAACAATTCGTCCACCAAATATTGTCCTGGTCAGTAAAATACCTGATTCTGGTAAGTACATTTATTTAGCATATGGTTTGGTAATTACTTCAAGATGTAATCTATAAGTGTAAATTAAGTCGTGTTGATTATTATTAGTAACAAGTATCATAAATGACAATCAAAGCTCATATTATCTAACAGTCAATGATGTTTTAAGTAAATTTTAATCATGTTCATTGTGTGTCAAATGTTTTGTGCTGAACTACATCACTTTTCCTGTTTGTTATATCTGATCAATTATTATGTCTCCTGACCTTCGTTCACTAGTTACCTTTACGTTGATAAACTGGAATATTGAGTAGTTGTCATTCGGATTTATTGATTATATCCAATTCTAGTGGTTGTACAATTCATATAACCTTTCTAAATACTATACCACTTATAATCAACACTATCCATGTGGAATGCTGTATTTTCGAAATAGTTTTTATAAGGAGATTTGTGGGTTTGAAATCTGTACAATAATCTGTTATATGATCCCGGATAATTTTCGTCACGAACTAACTTCAGCACGGGGAATCATCGGTTCTGAAGTCAGTTTAGAACCAAAGCTGTCGCGAAAATTGCGATAATCTCCATAGCTAACCAGTATTATGTATGTATGGTTGGTGGATTGTAGCCAAGTTCAAAACACTCGTTTCGTCTTATTGGGACAGTTGCAGTTTTAGTCTTGAATGTTAACAACGGGATAGCTCAAATACTTACTAATAACGATATACATATCATACTCTTTGAACAAGTCAGTGGCTATCTGCACTCAGTAGATAACGCTTTGGGGTTTGAAGCAAAAAGTGCTGAGTTTGAGACCAACACGGACATCGAACTTACTTAAAAATAATAATAATGATAATAATAATAATAATAATAATAATCATAATGGACATCAAAACTTGGATGTAATTATATTCGGTTAATGAATCCAAAAATTAGACGAAATTCACGTCCTTTATTCAATTGCTAGCCACAATCCATTTGCCATACTGAGGCAATCCAGATTTGACCCAAACATAGAGACCAAGATGGATCGAATTTCGATAACATATATCATGGCGGCGTAATTCTAGCCCTTATGTTACAAACTTTATAAATGATATTATTATCCCATTTTGCCATTCATTCACACTAACACAACCGAATCTTGTCAATACATACATACGCAAGCATGTGTACACAATAGTGTCTGGATTTTGGGTGTTACCCTCTTATTTTTCAATCCATAGCCTCAATTTAGGCTTATAGTCATGTTAATTTACAATCATCTATGGCATACATTGTGGTATATTTTTCGTGCTATAAGATTAGGGTGTGGTTATTTCCGTTTTTATCCTAGGCCTTAAAACAATGTAAGTATGAATCATTTGGCATATTGCATAAATTTACGTGAAATTTTCTCTTGTTTAAACAATATAGGTTGCTAAGGTATTCTAGAGTGTATTGGGAAGGCCGAGGTAAGCCTACCTAGATCTTTACAACATATGACTAAGTTTATCATTTAAAGCATGAGTCAATTGTGCTCATACAATCACTCATTAAGTTGTACTTGCTTGACTATTTTACAGGTGAATGAATAATGTTCCAGATTAAAACACATAAGATATTGACGATGGTACAAGATTTAGATCTTAGTTGTGTGTTGTTTTTCTGCTTTGTCTGATACTACACACATAATATTTTGTCTCCAGTCGGAATTTTTCGGTAATTTTTATTTTCTTTCGATTCTCTGAATCATTACAGTGTGATATCTTTCTAGAATTTCCTACATTCTTTTTGCCATCCTTTTTTTGTAATAAAATTCATGGAATGTACTTGACAAACAAACCAAACACAGATGTTCGTGGATTTTTCAAATAAATTGTTTCAGTCATGTTTATCTATTTTTTGCAAGGAAACATTTAATTTTTTTATTGAGATTATGAATTGGTTGATGTTAGACCACCATCGAAAACCTGGAAGCACTGGACGGCCGTTTCGTTCTATTGTGGGACTCCAACGCTAGTCAGCATTGCACGCCGTGGTAATCGGTGTTCAGGCATACGTAACACGTGACCCAATAATAAATACATATTAGTTTTTCCTGAGTTTTATGCTTCAATTTATTCACATTTCATTTATAATAAGTCTAAAAGAAACAAATAAAAATCTCGCTTGCGGGATCGTGGATGCGCATTGCTGAGTCCCATACTAGAACGAGACAGTCGTTCAGTACTTCCAGTTTTTCAATGGTGGTCCAGTTTAATTTGACTTATGAATTCAACCATTAAATGAATAGTGTTCAAATGATACCACAATGAATATTTGCACGATACAGCAACCTCTTTTTTAATCCATATCATTTAATTATCTCACAGATCCCAATCAGAAGTTTTTATTTTTAGTTGAATAGAACTTAAAATCTTGAAAATAATCTTACTGTCGCTCCATAGACGATACTTTGATAGTATTATAAAATAAACATAAAAAGAATAATTTACTTAATAAATGCAATGACGTTCACCTATCTATTACTTTTACGCTCAAGGAAGGATGGAGTAATAGCATATTGTTTCTAGATATCCAACTGGATTAGATATAACATTAAAAAGAGGGATACATAGAAAATCTATAATTGGACAATATAATCGTTTCTATAGTTCTGCTGTCTGACTGATAGTGCTGTGCCAACCATATATAAAAAAGATACTTAATAAAAATCCTGACTCATTGTGTCAGAATGATTTTCTCCGATGACATCATTGAAAATGAACCAAGTAATATTTGTAGCCTGCTTCGTAGGAATGAATATCTAACGGAAATCACCAACAAACATATGAATGTAATGAGAAGAAGACCAAAGGTAACTACAGTCCCGAAGAAGGTACTGTTTTTAAAATTACAATTTCGAAGTGACGTTTCCGAAGAAATCATAACTCAAAGATAAAGAAATGTGCAGAAAAAATTTACTGCAGCCAAACTGAATACGATCTTCTACAATCGTCGGATAATGAAAACTGCCAATCAAGACAGACTGTCTAAATTCTCCACATTCATGTGTACCAAATCGATTGCTCCTTTGGAATCAGTTTTATAAGGTGTACAATTCGGCAAGTACATCATCGCATAGCAAAACACCATCCCTTTTTTTTGAGCAATGGATGGGTAAGAGTGCTCAAGAGTTCTATTCTTTCTCATTGGTGGACACAAGTCATTAAGTTGACTTGAATAAAGCTTTTGATATTATACACCATATTCCATCCTATTTACCACATGGTTTGCGTGTTCATCTTTTGCATATTCCTGAAGCTACAAGAATCTATGTTCACAAACCTAACGTTTCAGTTGCCGTATGAAACATATTGTTGCTTATCCTTCTGTATTACGATTTTGACAACTGATGTTGTTGTTGTCGTTGTACGAAACATCCAATCGATTCCAAAAGACGATAATTTCTAACGTGACCTTGAGGCAACCCATCCTGAAGCTAACAACTCGCGAATATTTTTTGTTTTTCCATCGAATATTTTTTGGATTAGTAGATTAGGCCCATCAAATTGACGGAATCGTCTGGTTTGGAAAATGTCTCAAAATATAAAATTAAACATTTGTCAAATATTATGTAATTTCCTTCGGAAACTTCACTACTGATATTGTCGTATGACTGATTTTTGAGTAATTAAATTTATTATGTTTTTTTACTGGGTTTGTAGTGAATTTCTGTATGTTCTTACAGACACATTCACATACTTGTATAACCATATGTTTCGTGTTTGTCTACAATAAGTGAAAAAGATACATGTTTTTTGTACTCTACATCTAGAATATATATGACTTTTCAGTGAATAAAAAAGTATGTTTACCCCCATCCCTCAATGTTATTATCAGATGTTATTCCGTCATCTTCATTGTACTGTTTATTACTACTGTCTCTACCAGTATTATTGTTGTTAGAATTGTTACTTTCCTTCCTTATATCTTTCTTTGATAATCGAAACTTGTGTTATTTCCTAGACTTAATAGTTTACAACTCTGTTTCATTTGGGATATGTATGAGTCATCAGGATTCATTGCTGTTTTTATGTTTCATAGACATGCACACACATATGTACTTGGACCTTGTATGTATGTACATACGGTATATCATATTAGGAGATATGGTAACTTGACAAAGCTTTAGCATTGTTTATTACCTACAACCAGACAAATAATTGGAGAAATTATGTCGGATTTTTGGAGGTTTTGTATAATTTAAAATATATTTATTTTGAACTAACCGAAACTGCAAAATCAATAAATATAAGGTCACATTGAATAGAAAACTCTCACTGCAGCCTAGGATGCATTAAAAACAGTACGTACCCATCAATCCTTACAGACTCATATCTCATACCGTTAAACCACGTAGAAGGAATTTATAATTTTTTACAATTTCAGTGTTAAACCACAGCTATGAATAGTTGTCCGATTTTCAATGCTTCAATTCAAAATGAGTGTTATTTTCAAACATTGTTTTCTAGATTAGAATATTTTTATGGTAATTGTATTAAATTTTACTTTTACTTACTTACGCCTGTTACCCCCCACCCACCCAATGGAGCATAGGCCGTCAACCAACATTCTCCGACCCATTCTATCCTGGGCCTTCCTTTTTACTTATATCCAATTGTCTATCTCCATTTCTCGGCGTAATTTGTCCTTTGACCTTGAGAATTCCAAGTGAAACGCTAACCAGAAAAAAACTAATTCAATGATTATAAAAGATTCCGATTGTGAAAATTAGAACAACACAAATAAGCGAACAATTGTTTTCAGTTAGATCGTCATCAGGCTTAATATACATGAATATTTATACGAAAATGTTAAACCAATCAAGGCAGTTGTGGTCAATAATCACAATGAAATAGAATAGGAAACCACACTTAATAGGTAAAAATTCAAGTTGATAGTAGGAAGACAGGTGTACTGATAGTAGTAGGAATAATAAAATATGATCACAAAAGTCTTATCAATAGTTAAACGTTGGAAATAGAAGGTCG